AAGATAATTAATCTGCATCAGCATATTTGTATTTTCCAGTGCACAGACACAGGAAAGAGCTAATCTGCCTTTCACTTTCAGCTCTTTGATTGGTCCAAAACAGAGTCTACCCTAAAAGACAGACTGCTGACATTCCACCGAATAGCAGATTGCATTGCAGACAAGCTCAAGGGTCTGTTCACCCTGTTTGCTGGTCATTTAGTGAAGCCATTTGCTGAGACACTGAACCAGATCAATATTTCTAAAACTGGTAAGTTTTCAGTTACTCACTACAGAGAGGCAGTGGCACACTAACTCGTAACTACTGAAAGAGGTTAATTATAACTGCTGAAAGTTTAGTCTTACAGGATTTACTTCACAGCACATACCTCTCATTTCTCTCTTCTTTCTCTCATAAATAAGGCATCTTTCTTATTCTGATGGAACCAAAGGACATTTTTCATCCATGGGCTCTGGGCTGCCAGTACAAAGTTGAGACCAGATGAAAATTTTCAGTGTCAGTCCCAGTGAGTTCCATGAGAATGAAATTGTGTGGAAAGAGGGTGACTTGTTTCTGTTTGGGGTTTTTTGTGGGTGTTTTTTTTTTTTTTCATTCATTCACTCTCCTACATGCTACCTGGTATATTCAGACTCCTCTGCTTTCTTGGCAAAAATTGGTATTACTTTTTTTGTATGGGAAGCTACCTGCCCATCCCATTTGTAGCGACCTGAAAAAATTCTTAATATCCACAGATATGGCCAAGCACTCTTCCCTATAGCCTGTGGCTATTCTCTTTTATCTCCAGCTGACTGTGAACAGCAGTGGCAGACCTAGGGCATTAGCTAAAAGCCAGATAACATATTGCATCCACTTCATTGTTGAGTGATGAATACATAATTGCTATGTAGTACATCCTTTAACTATATTCACAAACTAACAATGTTTCTGTCATGTGGGGAAGTTTTGTATTTTCATTTTTTTATGATTTTTTTTTTTTCTTCTCCTTGACTGACACGTAGATGAAGCTTTCTTTGACTCTGAGAATAGCACAGAAAAGAGCTGTCTACTGTTGCAGTTCACCATTGACTGTCTGCACAAGCTCTTCCTGTTTGACACCCAGAAGTTCCTGAGTAAGGAAAGAGCAGAAACCTTGATGACGCCTCTGGTCGACCAGGTATTGACAAACACAAAAACCCAATTCATGGCTGGGTTTTTTCCCCGCCCCCCCGCCATCTGAAAGATTTTTTTTTAAACTATCAGGCCTCAATCCTCTCCCTTAACAAAAAGGGACAAATTAATTCATTGTCTTTGGGCTACAGACAGTATTAAAGGCTTTGCCTAAGGCTCTGAATTACTAATCTTTTTATCCTATTTCTAAACATCTTCATTCCATAAGGTTCATGCATGTTGTTGAGCTCTTGCAGACCAGTGCACTCCCACTGATGCTCTTTGACGTAACTCTGCAGTACATGAAAGCCAAAGCTAGAAGAAATGCTTTTGGCTGGGTTTATCTGAGCCTGGATCTGTTTGACAAGCTTTTTACTTCCACAGCTAGAAAATACGCTTGGAGGAGATGAGAAGTTCCAGGAAAGAGTGACAGCACACCTGATACCCTGCATAG